GTAAGGCCAGGAGCCCAATATTAGCGTCCTTGCTCCTAGTAGCGATGGCCTCCAACCTAATAGCGTTTAAGGTCCTTTGAAGTACTAATTTGAACCAAGCAACATATTCATCGATAGCCTGCGGCCAATAGTAATTACCTGACATCCACATCGATGCGGAATCACGTCGATAAAACCGACATTTAAGTTTTCCTAGGAATCTAGGAAGCAAATCATTAGTGCGTGAGCTATCCTGCGTCCTAGCTAGGAAGGAACTTCTCCTAATACCGAAGTATTCTCACTTACTTGGTTAAGTAGGCAACTACTTAATTAAGTAGGAGTGGGCTTCAAAAAGGTGTTTCTTGATGGATTGGGGAAGGTTCCAGGAGGGCGATGCGGAGTGCTTTCAACACTATCCAAGTCACTTTGTATAGCGTTGGCTTGCATTTGGCGCCACACGGCCTTTTTGTGCCGGAAGATGTCCATGGCCTGTGGAGGCTATCCGTAGGTGCGAAGGCTTTGCGTAAACTGGAAGGTACAGCAGCTTTCTTATAACTAGTCGACCGGACTAGTGAAAAAGTAATTACAGAATAGGAAAGGAAAAGAGAAAGGTCTAAAGGTTAAGCTTCCATAAACCTGAGGGAACCTGAGCCCTTCTGGCTGGCAGCTACCCGCTATGAGTGGCTCCTTTGAGCAGCACCAACCTAACTCTTACATCCTCTTCATGGCGTACACCGAAGGTCAAAAAGATCAGGTCTAAAGGACTCTAAAGGATTCTAAAGGTTTGAAGACATGCAGCACGAAAAGGACAGCAAGAAAAGAAAACAAGATAGAAAGGTCAAAAAAAATGGCAAACACGCTGCAAAAAAGCCTGTCAGGCGAGCAAAAAACCAGACACAATATCTGAAAACAACAATTAAAGACAACGAACAACCACAACAATAACAAAATTCAAACAAACAACTGGAAGGATAAAATAACAAATACATTATTGTCGCTTTTAGGTTGGAGGCCATCACCTTTAGGTTGGAGGCCATCGCCTTTAGGTTGGAGTAGTGCAAAAACACTTCTTTTTTTGTTGGTAGTAAAGTAGCAAAATCTGTTCGGGGCCAATGCAAGAAACATCCTGCCTGATACAGCCGTTCCTTCAACCGGTTGGTATCAAAACCGCCAAAAAGGAATCCAGTAGCCTAACCGCAAAAAGCAGAATGGCAGCTATCGATTTTTTTCTGACAATGTTTTCTTTTTCGAACTCTCTATCGAGTCTCTATCTATCTTTCTTTCTTTTCACCACTCTGGTCTCGACTCTACTAGAAACAAGTGCATCGCTACTAGGAACAAGTGCCTTACTAGTAGTAACAAGGACGCTACTAGAAACACTCTGGTCTCTGAGCCCGGGTTCCAGACGTGCTCCTTCTCTTGTTCATTCCACAAGCCACGGACTGAGTCCTGGCCAAGCTAAGAGCTGATTGTGCGAGTACCAAGGCGACTGTGAAAGCATTCTGCAGCGCAACGAACACGCATCATCGAAAAAGGAAAAAAGACAGTTGAAAGGTCCAAAAGAGGAAAATCAACAAACACAACTAGTAACAAGAAGCTACTAGGGGCTCCTGGCATCGCTACTAGGAGCAAGGACGCTACTAGAAACAAGTGCATTGCTACTAGGAACAAGTGCATCGCTACTAGTAACAAGTGCCTTACTAG